CCCTGACTCCGCCCAATTTTCTCCGGAAACTTTTTCTCCGGAATTTGAGGGGTCTCAATTGTGCACAAAATCTCGGAACATGGAAAATGAAAGAAAAAAACCGCGAATTTTGTATAGAAATTATGTAGATTTCTCTATTTTTATGTGATCCTACAAGATTTTTTTCACAAAATAAAGCAAAAACCCCACTTTCAAATGCTCAGCCACCATTGAAATCTCAGCGACTCCATTCAAAAAAATCAGCGCATCGCCCCTCTGTGTGCTCGGAAACTGCTTATCAATCAACTCCAAAATCCGTAAATACGGCTCCGGATCGATTTTATGAGTCTTTTTCTCAGATTGCTCAATGAATTGCTTGATTGGATGCCATCGAACATCGATTGGGAATAGTCTTCCGGGCACTTGAACCACAGGGGCTCCTTCGAAATATCCTTTGAACAGGTCTAAATTAATCGTGGCAGACATCAAAATCAATTTCAAATCTTCTCGTTTTGAACATAAATCTCGGAGAAGTCCGATTAAAAGATCAGAAGTCAGATGACGTTCATGAACCTCGTCGAGGATTATTACGTTGTATTTTTCCAGAAGAGAGTCTTTTTCCATTTGGCGGAGCAGCAAACCCTCGGTGAGGAAGAGTAGTTTCGTTCGCTGAGATTTTGTAGTCTCAAATCTGAAAATTCAATAAATAAATATTTTTTTTAATTTTGGGAAACTCACCGAATCTGAAAAGCCACCTCACTCCCATACTGATTCAGAGTTTCGTAGGCTACTCGCCGAGCCAGTGCTGTACACGCAATCCGTCTAGGTTGGGTACAAGCTACACCCGTATAGCCAGCTTGCAGAAGGTACTGCGGTACTTGAGTCGATTTTCCGCATCCTGTGTCTCCAGCCACAATTAGTACTTGGTTCTGGAATTGTTTTAAATATATTTTTTTTCAAAATAAAAGCCTTACTGTCTTTAACAACTCCACTATTTCAGTGGCTCTCTCTGCAATTGGTAGCTCTTTCTGAAGTTTTCTGAGCTTCTGAAGTTTTTGAAACTTCTGGTGTTGATTGAATTGCAGTGCCACGTAATGAGCATATTCGAAATGTCTGTAGAGCCAGGGATTGATATGGTTCAGCGGTGTTGGTACGATTCCTAGATGTTCTCCTTTGAATCGAAGCCTGTTCAATCCTCCAGTATCTTGTGGAATACCAAATCATCGAATTTCACTCTTTTCAAGTCGAAGTGATCGTTGGTTTCTCCTTTTAGCTCTCTAAACTTGATAAACTAGTGTGAAATTCACTTTTGTTGTCTTCATTCACCTAAAAAATCGACTGAAATAGCTCTCAATAGATTTCCTTTTCGTTTCTATCAATTCTTGCGCCGCTGTCTTGATTCCTCCCCGGTTTCCTGAATTTCCAACATTTTTCAATATTTATTTTGTTCAGTTTCTTTTCAACCATCTCTGCTTGTCCCCGGCTCATCTGGCAAAAAATGTCTGAAGAGTGCGCCTCGGTGCTTTTCATACTCCTCTTGTGTCAATTTATACATTTTCGGAACCTAGAACATGTATTTTTTGGAAACAAAATATTTATTTGCGAAAAAAAACATATATTTTCTACTAGGTCTGCAAATACCGCCACCCAAACTTGCGGACTTTTTGGAAAGTGTTGCGAAATAGTGCACTATGAGTGGGCGGTGTTTGCGGTAAACTGAGATTTTCAAAACAATATTGTTTTATTTTTTGATGCAAATTTCAGTTTTTCCGGTTGTTTTTACCATATTTTCAATTATTTCAACATGAATTTCATGCTAGAAAGCGATCCTTCAGGAAAAACAACGAAAAAGGGAATCTGAAGGTCCCAAATTAATAATAAACTAATTTGTTGATTGTTTCGTCTTTGAAAGCGCTTTCTTTGTTATCAAATTCATATAATACGGAATTTGTTCAACTTTGTTTCATGAGTCCACCCACTGTAATAATAATAATAATAATATATTTATTTGCAATGCATGGGGGGAAATCGATAGATAATTTGGCAAGAAATGGGACCTGTACAAATAAAAAAGTAAAATGACCAGGCGGGCCGACTAGAGTCCTGTAGGCCAAGTGGGACTGCTTGCATTGCAATATGCAGCAACTGTGAATGGGACTGCTTGCATTGCAATATGCAGCAACTGTGAATTCTATAAATCTCATAAACCAATTTTTGACATGAATCCCTTTTTTCACTCCTCCTCACCAGTCATAATTCAAAAAAACTATTTATTTTCGTGTTATGTATTCCGATATGTTTTGTTTTTTCGTTATTGTTTCCGCTCCCTGGCGGCTAGAAACGAACGGCGCGTCTCGTGGTTTTCGCTGCGCCGTCTCCTCCTCCTCGCGCTCATCAAAACAAGCTAGCCGAACCAATCTATTGATTTTGAGTGTCGTTGCGTGTTTTGTTAGCTTCTCCTCCTCCATTTTTCCGTTCAAATAGCAAACACCCTACAAATTCTTTTCTTCCAGATGGACCTCAGCGAACGCGAAGACCAAACCAGCGATCCGGACGAGGACGATAATGAATGCAAAGTAAGTTATTCCAGAAAATCCGGCATTTTTAAATTCCAATTTCAGAAAGTATCTAAGAAAATCGCCAATGTAACACTGGAATCGGATTCTCTACCCGAATCTCCACAGACCGCTGAAGATCGAGCGGTTCGAAGAAAGAAGCGAACGAAGAAGAAGGGACAGCAAATGGATGTGGATCCAACGCCAAGAAATAAAGCAGAAAGTGAGAATCAAGCTCTAAAGCCAAAAAAGTATACGAATATTTCAGAATACATGGATTGTGATGGTTTCGAGTCGCACATCTCTTCTAGCGACGAATCGGCTTCTGAAGATAACAAAGGACAGGAAGCAGATGATGAGCAGAGTGACTGGGTTGGAGACGTTGGCGAGGCCAGCGATACGACACCAACACACAGTCCACCGTTCCAACCGCCACTCGATCGAAAGTTGCATGCCCGACGATCGCAGAATGCTCATCAGACGTCTAGTATGCAGAAGAAAATTGAAAAGTGGGTCCTAACTGTACTTTATTTTGAAAAATCGCGACCAAAAACACCCCAAAGTTAGGTTAAAATTACGAATATTTCGAGTCAATTGGGGCGGTGTCGCTCATTTTTTGCGTACTTTTGACTACCGTAACTCGCCAAAAAAGTTTGTTGTTTTATTTTTTACAATTTTTCCAGATTCGCTCGTGAAGGCGGCCGCGGCGAGCTCGTCCTTGAAACTCGATTCCGTGATCGTGCTTCGAGCTCTCTTCTCCAACGCTACCTGTACAAATACCACTTGGAAGTGGTCCGACGCCATCGTGGATCCATCACTCTTCGAAAGAAATTCGAAACTCCCAGCACGTCGACTGCTCGCTAATTTAATACCTTTTTATCTTTTCATCATGCCCACCACCTAACCTTTTGGGTTTTCAAACGTCCCGATGTACATAACCTGTAAATTCCATAATTTCCACCCTTCATGATCCTCTCCTGTAACTATTAACTGCACATGAATGATTCAATCTTTTTTTTAAATTTTTCATTCTATCCTCAAATTGTTTTTGTTAATTTCAGCTTTTTTGATATCTTCTAGTTAGCCTTTTTTCACATTGAATACTCCTTATCTTCAGATCATTTTATGGGAAACAGAGACGGAAATCAAGTGGAGGCCGATTTTGCTCGTCTAGGAGTGAGAATGTAGGTGAAAGTATTTGTATAGAAAGAAATGCCAGCCGGGCAAATTTGCAGCGAGTTACCTGATAAGAGAGTCTTCTCGATCGATCAATTCGAACTGTTCGTCAACGAGGCGATTCGCGAGATTTTCGGTAGCTGCGGACCGATTGTGAAGGTAAGAAAGTGCCGATTTTGTTGATATTTGAATAAAGATTTCTTGGTTTTGTCTTTTTGTACTGAATTTTGTGTGAATCTTTGTAATATTTATGTTTTTGGCCGTCTAATTGGAGCAAAAAGTAAGTCAATATTGATTCGGTTCGCATTTTGTAGCGTGTTTTTTTTTGTAGCCTTTTTTTGTAGCCTAAATTGTGAGCAGTTTTTTAGGGGGGACGGCGAATTCGCTGTTTTGTGTGTGCTTTCATGCGCGCTCTGTTGCAGGAAGCGTTCCAATTTGGGACAGTTCGACTCCTTACCAGTTCGAACTTGTAACAGTTCGATTCTGTCCGCGTTCTGTTCTGGTACGTGTGCAAAGGACTGTTCTGAATTGAATCAGTTCGATTTTAGGTCTGTTCGAATTTGAAAACGTTCGAATTCGTCGTACCCCCGTTTTTTATGCAAGATGTCATGAGAAAATCCGCGCGCTGCTTGTAAGTTAGGCTCCATCCACTTTTAGCGGAATTTGAGGAGTCTCAAAAATTGTTGCTCGTTTGCCACATACTTGCTAAACCTCGGCCCGGCCCGGGTCAGCCCTGGCCCGGCTTGAGAAAAATTATCCCGGCCCGGGTTCCGAAAAATTAAAAATTTTTTCTGTTAATTTTTGATAATACATTTTTGTCAAAATAATAATTAACCCTGAAAACAAAGAAATTTTGATAAAAAGTCCCAAAAAATCCAATTTTCTCTCAAAAAATGACTCATAAAAATTTTTGCCTCAAGACACC